GTTGGGAAATAGGAGGCAGCAGCGTTTTGCAGTTACCCTTGATTAGGAGTGTGAGGCAGCAGCAGGAGTTTTGCTACTGTATCTGTTCTGAGATTAGAGGTAGCATTGGGATAATCCTGCCCTACTTGCACGTTTCCATTGGAAAAACCAGTGAGGTAGAAATGGAATATTTTTATTATCTGTGATCTGATACTAAATACTCTGTGCAACAAGGAACATAAAGCTATGCCTCTCTCTGCATGAGGAAGGAGAACATGATAACCAGGGTAGAGGCAAATCTGGATGATATCAGAGCTGGAGGTGGGACTTAATCTCATGACATAATTCAGTTTGCTGCCTTAGTGGGGCAGGGGATACAGCTCCCTACCCCTTCAGTAGAGAAGAACTCTTCTTATTTATGTTGTGTGCAGCACATGCTAGTAACTGTGATCTCCAGATGTTTTTCGTTTACAACTCTTATCAGCCCTAGCCAACATAAGCAGTGATAATTGTAACAATTACAGCCCCCAAATATCTGGAGGGACATAGATCCTTGACCTTTCTGTTCAGGGTTCAGTAACTTTTAACTATTTTTTTAAAATACCAGAGTCTAATTTTACTGGGCATCTCTTAAACAGAGTTCTGTATTATACTGATGTATTTTGGCAGTAATATTTTGAAAGATTGTCTTATCAGATATTTGCTAGGACTTGTTTTTGAATTATTGAATACTTGATTTTTACAAATTGTTTTGTTAAAATTAATCCTAGTTTTCAGTGTATTTATTGGTTGTTGTGGGTTTTTCGGGCTCTTTGGCCGTGCTCTGAAGGTTGTTCTTCCTGACGTTTTGCCAGTCTCTGTGGCCGGCATCTTCAGAGGACAGCACTTCTGAAGAACAACCTTCAGAATGTGGCCAAAGAGCCCAAAAAACCCACAACAACCGTTAGAAACATGGCCAAAGAACTTAAAAAACCCACAACAACCATCAGATCCCGGCCGTGAAAGCCTTCGTGAATACAATGTATTTATTGTTTGTTGATGCTCTTCAAGCCCTCGACTAATATAGGGCCCATCTTCTGTTCACCCCTTGATAGTAGCATCTAACGTTCTGTATTCATTATAGCTGTAAAAATGGTTACGCTTATAATATTCATCTGTTTTGTAATTTTCATTTGTCATCCTTTAATGTACTTTCATATACAATGGTGCCTCGCATTACGAGTGCTCCGTTTTACGACGAAATTGCTTTACGTTTAAGGTTTTGCGATCGCAAAAGCAATCGCAAAACGACGTTTCCTATGGGGGAATTTCGCTTTGCGATGATCAGTTCCCTGCTTCAGGAACCGATTCTTTGCAAAACGACTATTTTCCAACAGCTGATCAGTGGGTTCAAAATGGCCACCGGGTAAAAAACATGGCTCCCCGCTCTTTTCTGGGACGGATTCCTCGCTGCACAGGCAGCGAAAACAGTCGTGATATGGAGGATCTTCGCTGGACAGTGAGTTTCAAGCCCCTAGAAACGCATTAATCGGGTTTTAATGCATTTCTATGGGCTTTTTAATTTCGCATTACGACGTTTTCGTAGGACAGCGATTTCGCTGGAATGAATTAACGTTGTAATGCGAGGCACCACTGTACTTAATTTGTATCTCCTAAATGCACTTTCATATAGCCCAGTATAAATAGCCTTTATAAAATACAGTATGGTGTTTTCCTGTATATCTTGTGACACTGAGAGGAATTTAATAATCTCATACTTAATTTATTCATTTCATTTACAGTATTTAAAGTACTTCTGCTCTTCATACTAAACATGCCTCTTAATAATGGCTTACATGCAGTAAATAAAACGATACAGTTCCTGCCCATAAGAGTATGGCCTAAAACAAATTAAAATACAAATGCAAGAATAGGCAGTACTTTTACAGACCAATAAAAATAATCATACAATATGCATAGTACAATATGCATCATACAGTATGCAAGCTTTTGTGGATAAAAACACCACTTCATTGGGCTTGTACCACTGTGAAGAAATCCTGGGAAAATCCATCTTGCCATGAACTTCTGGACTTTAATTTCTTCACACTGGTACAAGCCCGATGAAGTGGTGTTTTTAATCCACAAAAGCTTGCATATTGTATGATGTATATTGTATGATGATTTTTAAGGAGTCTGTAAACGCCTATTCTTGGATTTTTATTTGCTTTGTTTGGACCACATGGCTCCCCTTGATTTCAGTGGCTTAAAACAAAATAGAGAGCAAAGAGAGGGAAAGTGAATGTTGATATTAGTATCTAATACTTGTTATTATAAGATTGGTGGGAATGAAAAACAATTCCTGGTAAAGAGGACCATAGTAGAACTTGTATTTTGATCAAGTTGATGAAATGGCTCTTCTTCCTAATTCCCACAAATGTAGTTTGGCTGTTTTAGTTTTGTTCAATACTTGTGCCAAGTTATGTAGAATTAAATTGTCAGAGTTTTGTGGCACTTTATAGATTACAATTATAGGTTTTATTTGGCACAAGTTAAATTGTTATCTGAAGAAGTAGGCTGCATTCTGTACAAGCCTATGCCAAATAAAAGTTGTTAATCTGTAGAGTTCCACCAGACTTTATTTTTGTTGCAACAGTTTTACATGGCAGTTCTTTGGAAATTAAAATTCTGTGGGTTTTTTTTCATGAAATGCTGTTTTGAATGTAGTTCTTACCGTAAACTGTCCCTATATATCCAGTCACGTATAAACACACTTACCATGCAGGTTGGGATATTCAGTTGTTGGCAAATTGGAGATCTGTGAAGGTGTGTCACTGTTAGAGTAACTTTTTACCAAAATGATTTTCTTACATTTTCCAGTTACTATATTGGAAAATAAATACTTGTATGTATGTTCCTTTTACAAAATACTAATGTCATAAAAGAATAGATGGTTTGCTATTGCTGGTATATTGTTACTTTTAAATTTTTATTTTAAATTAATTTACCAAAAATGTAAAGATTGCATGAATATACAGCCTCATGGTACATAACTAAGCTCTATTTCATGCTGAATTACCTAGGAACTATAATGTATCTTAAACTTAAATAGAAAACTATGTTTAGATAGATTTTTTCTCCATTTCATTAAACTAAATTTGATTAAAATTAAAGAACCAATTAAAAATTTTTAAAAAATGATTAAATAAAAAATCAGATTTTTGATTTTTTTAAATCATCAATTTTAATATACCCTGCTGCTAAGATTTTTAAGCAACAATATATGTTGCCAAGAAGTTGTGAGTTGTGAAGGACAGATTCTTGACATTATATACATGTATATAATTCCTTTTAACATGTTTTACTGAATTTCTTTAACAAGTGGATAAATCAGATTACAGCCTTTTATACATGAATTGTCTCTTTTTTAAAAGAATGTGTTTTCTAATTCTAAGGTTTACTTGAATTCATAAAAGAAGAACAAAAGTGAAGATCCTTTGACAGCTTTGTTCTAAAGTCAATGCATAGAGACTTGAATTGGCTACTGTACAACTTTCCCAGAATCATTATAATTTACGACTCAGTGTTAATCTCCTTTTCAGGGCTAGTATTAGCTCTGGAAGGAAGAGAATAATCAAGCTTATTGTACCTAAATTTAGCACATCAACTGTTTGGGCTTGCAGGACTCAGGTGGAGTTGATTCTTTCTGTGGTACTTTTGGAAGGGCTCTGGGCAAATTATGTATAAGACTCCAGGGATACTTCCTGGTGGCACTTCCAGTTTTGAAAAATAGGGCATTTGAAGTGTGGGTTGTAGTGGTTCTGACCTGTTTCAGATATGAATTTGCAGTTCATGGAGACTTTCAGCAGCTACATAAAAACGTAAAGGTTCCCCTTGACAAATGTCCAGTCGTGTCCGACTCTAGGGGGCAGTGTTCGTCCCCGTCTCCATGCCATAGAGCCAGCGTTTGTTTGTAGACAGTTTCTGTGGTCATGTGGCCAGCGCAACTAGACACGGAGAGCTCTTACCTTCCCACCATGGTGGTACCTATTTATCTACTTACATTTTTACATGCTTTTGAACTGCTAGGTTGGCAAGAGCTGGGACAAGCGACGGGAGCTCACTCCGCCGCATGAATTCAAACTGCTGATCTTTTGACCCTGCAGCCCAGAGGCTTTGCGGTTTAACCCGTAGTGCCACCACGTCCCTATAGCAGCTATATAGAATTCCCTTTTCTTCTTCTTTTGCTAGGAAATAGAGAAGGCTGCAAAAAAGTTGACAGATACACTTTGCCCAACACACCACAGGCCTTGGATTGGGCAGATGTGACTGTATGGCTTCGTTAATCAAAAGAAATGCTTGCTGAAGGAGTATACATATCAGTTATTATTATTACTTTTTTTTAGTGTAGTGTCAACTTGATCTCTTTCTGCAGAGCACCACTGGGAAAGAAATCTTGAGACTTTAACATGGAATTGGAAGTAATAAGATTTTCTGCCTTTGGGTTGTAACAGGAAAAGGATAATTTAGTTCATATAAAATCTCAGTTTCTTCTTAATCATTTATACAAGCCCCCTCTAATCTTGTAATCAAATGTCAAATATATATTTTGTAGTGTGAATACACTCTTCCTCTTTCTTCCTTTTCCTTTTTCTTGAAATAAACTGTCTGACAACATGAGAGTTATTCTCTATTCCTCTGCTTCTGTTTGTTCCTGAGAATAAAACTAAAGGTCAGATATTTTCCTTTTTTTGAGTTTGGTTGCAGCATCATTAAAATATTACAGTTTTATACACATTTAACTGTACAATGTTATTTTCTTGTCACTTCTATTTGTAGTACATTTATTTTGTTACTTTCATTATTTAAATATACATTGAAAGAATAAAGCTACCGTTGTATGCAACCACATTGTATGTAGTCATAATTTCAGGTTTTGTGAGTTAGCAGTACTGTGAATAATTTTAATTTAATATAATATATCTTTGTAAATTATTCTCATTATAACATAACGGAACTTACTATAAATAATTTGGTTTCAGGTAAAAAGAACGTATTCCCATGGGACATACAGAGCTGGCCCTATGAGACAAATCAGCTTGGTTGGGGCAGTGGATGAGGAAGTGGGGGACTACTTTCCGGAATTCCTTGATATGCTGGAAGAGTCACCTTTCTTAAAAGTAAGAAGGAAAGAAAGTAGAGAAGACATTTGGCTTTGTTTAAAATAATATTGCAGTCTAATTTTAGAAATCAGATTCAAAATCAGATTAATGACCAAAATATTTAACTGATCAGATACAAATATAAGACATAAGTACAAGTAATTTGTATTGTTCATTGAGCTTGTATTAAACACTTATGATTCTGGATCTATTTTTTCATGTTTGCAGTTGTTAATTTTAGATGAAGACTGCTGTCTAGTGCAAATTTCCAAACACTAGAAATACCAATATTCTTATGCTTAAGCAGACACACCATATGGTCACTTGCATTCTTACAGAAATAGGCATGTTAGAGTAACCTTGCAATCCTCTGTGGTTGATGGAATTCTCCACCCCTAGTTTAAAAACCAGCTGGCACTGTTTTGAAGTTTAACAGATTTTATTTTCTGTTTTGTGAAGTAATTAAAAAGTCTTAAGTGCTGTTCAGAAAATTAGTTCAGTTTTTTTAAACGAATATTTCTTTTTAGTGTACATTGCCATGGGGAACACTTTCTAGTTTGAAACTAGAGAGTCGAAAAGATAGTGATGATGGTCCCATCATGTGGGTGCGTCCTGGAGAACAGATGATTCCTGTGGCAGACATGCCAAAGTCACCTTTCAAAAGGAAGCGGTATGTGGAATTTCAGATTTAGTAAAACATTTATTACAGCTCTTAGATATTCTTCTCCTTTGTTCAGAAAAAATTAAGGACAGGTTACTATAGTTACAAATGTAATAAGATAACAAAACAATGAATTTATAATTTATCTAGCAGAACAGTCAGTAATCATAACATCAAATTAAAAAGACAGAAACTCTCTGAATATATGTAATAAGTAAAAATCTCTTCACCTGGGGACAAAAAAGCATCATGGTGGATAGATTATTACTAGAGATGGGCATGAATTTTAAAAATGGCAATTCATCATGATTTGTAATTTGTCAATGTCAACATGTGAGGGTCCGACCTTTGGCTCCGTCTTTGACTCAAGGAAATCAGATGTTTTTTGTTGCTTAGAAACAGGTAAAATATTTATTGGTGCATTTAACAATAAACCAGTGTCCTGAATGTGTTGATGATTTCTGTCTCCTTCTGCCAATGGGTCCAGAAGGGGTCTCCATTCTTTAAACAGGAATGGGTTTCCAAAACTATTTTTCCAAGGTCCCAGTGAAACGGGAGGGACCCAGTCTCTTATGGTCTGCCCCATTGGGTCATCCAACAGGGACACAGTCTCCTCGTCCACGCCGTCTTCCCACTCAATCCTTCCATCGGTATCTTGGCTCTCCTAAGGAATTTGTGATCTCCTTCTATAATCAGACTCTTCCCAAGGGACTGTCAATCGCTCTCATACTCCTGTCCATGGATCTTGCAGGCCTGGGTTTTTTTTTCTTTGCGGTTGACGAGGGTCAGCTCTTCAGCGAGTGGGGTACCCCTTTGCCATCTGTCTCACACAACAAATTACAAATGTATGAGGGTTTTTTTGTGAATTGATAAATAACTCATCTTGACTTTAAAGCCCTATAAAACGGCCTCCCAGGCACCTAGAGACACAAAAACTGTAGAGAAACTTTCGCTGACGCTCCTCTACAGTCCTTGCGTATTTGGTGAAGTTTGAGTTTCAGACATCTAAGGTATACATCCACAAAGAGACTCCCTTCCCAGGAAAGCTTCCTCCAGGTACCTAGAGGCACGAGAATTGCAGATAAACCTTTCCAGATTCTCCTCTATAATCCCTCCAAGTTTGGTGAAGATTGGATTTGGACATTACCTCCAAGAAAGTGCCTTTAGCATTGCTGGAATTTTCCCCAATCTAGCTGCTAAAGGGTACTTTCCTGGGGGGGACGACACACGTTACGGGTGTATAATTCAGATGTCTGAAGCCCAAACTTGACAATACTTGCAGGGCCTGTAGAAGAGAGTCAGGGGAAGCTTCTCTATAATTTTTGTGTCTCTAGCTGCTGAGGGTGGCAGTGTTTTATAGCCTAATGAATCCACAAATCAAAATCATTAATTTGTCAAATGTATTCATCAGGGCTGTTGCTTTGGATAAATACGAATTGACAAAGCAATTCTTAATTATTTTTGCAATTCCTTTTTTTGTTTGTGTCCATCTCTAAATATTACAGTTGAGCATTACAGTTCCTATTCGCAGTGATTTGTTTCCAGAGGTAGGTAGACTCAATAAGGGGTTCTGAGGATGATTTTAATATTTGGGTAGGTTGGTGTGACTTTTTCTAATCCTTGCTTTGTTTTTCCCAAATGCTTCTTGAGTAATTGTTCATTGCTTAAACAGTCAGCAATTATTATTAAATACTAAGGTCTTCATTTGGACGTCCATGGTTGTGTCATGGTCATGCATGCCATGTTTTCTCCTTAGATGCAGGGTGGTTAATCCCAGTGGAGTTGGGGGCAATATTTTACCCCCGTATTTGTTAGTTTAAATATCAGCTGACTACTCTAGGCAGTTAATAATCATGTAAATAGCCCTCCTACTTAACTACTAACCCAAATAAACCTCCTTGCTACCACAGTCAGAACGGACTAAACCTCAGAATTGACAAAATCCAACAAACCACAGTGATGACAGACAAGGTACAACAGTGCTCATAATTAATGCAGGGGAGAATGTCTCTAAAGGCTTCTTCAAAGAAAATGGTCTTTAATAATTTCTAGAAGCTTGGCAGAGAGAGGGGTCCTGGTGGCTCTCTGCTTGGACACTGTTCCAAAGATGTGGGACCACTATCGAGAATTTCCTTGTGGAAACCTTCACTTCCCTTGGAGTGGCTACCCATAGAAGACCATCCTGGGTGGATCAGGTGGCATGGGCTGATGTTCTTTGGGGGGAGGTGCTCCAAGAGAAAACAGGGGCCCAAATGCTTTATATGATAGTACCAACACCTTGGATCTGTCTCAGAAAGGCCAGTGCAGCTGAGCCAGCACTGGTGAGATATGGCCAGACTTTGCAACCCCAGTGATTAACCTGGCTGCTGCATTCTGTACCTGTTGCAGTCTCTGAGTCAGCTTCAAGGAGCACCCCACATATTTATAAAAATAAATAGTTGATCTTTGAGATCAATATACAGTGGTGCCTTGCATAGCGATCGCTCCGTATAGCAATGAAATCACTTTGCGAGGGACTTTTTGCCATCGCAAGAGCAATCGCTTTGCGATGGCCCCTATGGGGAAAGTTCGCTTTGCGATGATCGCAGGGAAGCAATCATCACAAAGCCCCCATTTTCGGCCAGCTGATCGGTGGTTCCAAAATGGCTGCCGGGTAAACAATATGGCCGCCCGCTGTTTTGCCTCGCTTTAGAGGCACCGAAAATGGCTGCTGCAATGGAGGATTTTCGCATAAGGTTAATTTTTAAGTCCATAGGAACGCATTAAACACGTTTTAATGCGTTTCTATGGGCTTTTTTAAATCGCTTAGCGATGAAATCGCTTAGCGATTTTTGCTGCACCGATTAACATCGCTAAGCGAGGCACCACTGAATCAGTGACCCCCTGTGGCCAGCCCTACCTGGCTAATCACTTCTTGGCCTGTCTTGCCTTCCCTCCTTGGCTTTCCTTAAGCCCCAATCATAAGAGCCAAGCAGTTTTAAACTGAAACATAAAATATAATTCTTTATTTAGTAAGCATAGCAGTTACAAGGCACTATCATAAACTTGATGTTTCACATGTTAAAAAGAAGTAACCTTCCATGCTAGAACTAGCTCTATCATACAAAGTAATTATAATAAATAGCTCCCTGGGAACCCACAATCCTGTTGTGAGATACACTCTAAGTGCTTCGCTGTAACTCATTGTTAACTGACTAAACCTTTCCTCTCTTGTTTTAAATGTCTCTTGTTGTCTCTGGATTGGTTCTCTTTTCAGCCAATTATGTTCTCCTTGATGTTGCTGGGTAGGCTTCCGTCACACCCCCCAATCAACGAAAGTATGTAGTTGGACAATCAGCCAAAGCTAATTGAAGGCTAGGCTAACCACATCCGCTATTTGATGTTCCCAAGAAAGGGCTGGGTCTAAGATCACCCCCAGACCATGCACTGGGTTCCTAAGAGGAAGGGTAAATCCATCCAATTTAGGGAGAAAATCCCCCAACCTGTCTGCCCCCCTCCAGCCAACAAGTCCTCCATCTTGTCCATGTTCTATTTCAGCCTATTAACCCTAGACCATTCCAGTATTGAGGCCAAACAATGCTCCAGCACCAAGACAGCATCTACTGCAGAGGATGTAAAGGAGAGATAGAGTTGCATGTCATGAGTGGAACCCAAAACTCCAAATGATCTCTCCCAATGGCCTTACGTAGACGTTAAAAAGCATTGGGGAGATGGACAGTCCCTGAATAACCCCACAAATGAGGCTCCACATGGGTTATAGCATCTTCTCAAGCTGGATTCTTTGAACACATCTGTTGTGGATCAGAACTAGCTAAGAACCAGCCTTCTGATCCCTAGTGCTGATAGTCTGTCCAGGAAGATACTCTTGTATCAAAAGCTGCTGAAATATCAACGACAACTAACAGGGTCATTTCTTTCCCCCATCAGCTTCCCTTAAAATATAATTGGGCAGTGTAACAAGGGCTGTCTCAATACCAGGCTGCATCCTGAACCCCAAACTGGAATGGATCAGAGCAGCTCATTTCCTCCAGGAACACCTGGAGCTATTCTGCGTCTCTCCCTCCCGGCCTAGAATGGTCCCTTCCGGACATGATGTGGTCTGCAGTGAAATGTGGTTGAGGGAGGTGCTCTCAAATAATGTAGCTTTTGATCTGATCTGTTTTTACAATAAATAATGGATTCTGGTGTATAGTAAATCTATGGAGTCCGAGCTCTAATTTCACATTTAAAACACATTTACTGATATGCTTGTATAAATGTCTCTAGCTTTGTATTTCTGCAGTCTTTTAAAATGGTCCGGTAGACATGTTATCGTAAAGTTTGGAGCACTTGTCTTAGTGATCATACGTTGACAACGAGGCAAGAGCTTTATTTAATACTTAGAACTACAGTTTGTCACAATTATATATCCTGGGTAAAAGTGAAACATACTATCGAATATTCATGTGGTAGCTGAAAAAGGTGAAATGAGAAAATTTCCATGTAAGTGGTGGCTTGACTTACGAATTTAATCCGTCCCAGAAGATGTTCATAAGTGGAAATGCTTATAAGTCGAAGCACCATTTCCCATTGAAATACATGGCAACTGGATTAATCTGTTCCAGCATTTCAAGAAAAAAAACCTAAAAATAAAACACTACAAGCCACTGGGGCTACAAAAAAAACAACCCAAATCCAAATATAAACATAAACATAACCCCACCAGCCCAATCCCACCTTGCAAAAGCCACCCAAACCAGTAAAAAGCAAAAAGCACCTTACCTCTACTGCCGCCACCCGGCCCGGGCTCTGCCGCCGCTGTGACCGCTGCCTCCGGGAGGCCTCACAGGCTTCTACTGCCGTTGCTGGGAGGCCTCCAGGAGTCCGCCCATTACCTCACTGTCCAGGAGGGGTAAGGCTGGCCTCTGTCCAGAGAGGAAGTCCTGTGGGGATGCACACACAGGTGGCTGAGCGGGCCAGGAGCAAGGCCCCGTCCTCTCCACCGCCTCCATCTCACGGCGGCAAGAGCCCTTCCCCTGGGTCGCTGGGCACTCTGGCGCGCACAGCGCTGGGAGCCTAGGCGCCCCGGAGCCGAGAGAAGCGGAGCACGCCTGGGAGCCCCAGCCAGCCCCAACACATTCCTTCTGTGGCACCCGCTTTCCCCAGAGGGCTGGCGAAAGTTGGCCAGGCTGCAATCTGCGTCTGTGTCTGGCAGACCGCCGCCCCAGCCAGCCTTCCCTCCCTCCTCTGGCAATAGGGCAAAGTTTGGCAGTGGCGCCTGTCCTCCCTGCATGCAGGGCTGGTGGGCACGGGGGACTCACCTTTGCCGAGCATCTTGAAGGTGCCGCATCAAGTTCCCAAGTGGTGTTCACACCGGGCAGCAGTGGGGACTGAGGAGTCATCTTCATCGGCTGCTAGTCTGAGGGGCTCACCGGAGGATGGAGCAGCCACATTGCGCAGCAGCCGCCGCCGATGGTGGTGGATGCCCATGCTGGGCAGCGGAAGCCCGGGAGGCCTCCCACCGGTGGCAGTCACAGCAGCGGTGGAAGCCTGGGAGGCTGAGCATGGCTGGGATGGTCCAGTGGCGGTGGAAGCCCAGGAGGCTGAGCCTCCCTTTTCCTAACCATTGGGGCAAAAGTGCTTTTCGCCACCAATGGTTTGAATTTCCCACCTTTCCCCCCTGCCTTTTTCTTTTCTTATGTTGAAGCTCCACTCACAAGTTTAAGCAAATTTTTGCAAGCAGAGTCAAAATGTTTACAGCTAGGGGCGTTCGTAAGTCGAGGCACCGCTGTAGAATAGTTTATTTTTTAATTATTGCATAGTCATTCCAGAACAGCACCGTGTACACCTGAGAGTACTTCTACATCACATGTGTAATTGCTTCCTAATGGGATTGCAAAACAGTTTTTAATGAAAAATTTGACAAAACTATATTCTCTATGGGTCTTTCTCTTTTTAACAGAACTACCAATGAAATAAAAAACCTGCAGTACCTACCTCGTACTAGTGAACCTCGTGAAATGCTCTTCGAAGACAGGACACGAGCCCATGCAGATCACATAGGACAAGGGTTTGAACGACAGACTACAGCTGCTGTGGGAGTATTAAAAGCAGTACATTGTGGAGAGTGGTATGTATTTCTCAGATTGTGCATGGTTAATATCTGAAAAAATACCTTAACAAAATTGAGAGAGTGGTGACACTTATTTCTGCTAGTACATGCTTAGTACATAACTTCTGGTCCAGAGCTGGCAAAAGAGAAGAGGCCAAACAATACCCAACACAACTTGCCCCTGTGTTGCCTATTTTAATGTAGGAAGTCAAAATAGCTAAAGATATTCATGCAATTAATTTCATGGAGCAATAATATTTATTTAAGAATTTTTGTACTAAGTAGCAAAGCCAAGAATGAGAAATTTGATATGCTTAGAAAAGTATTTGAAAATGATGCGTTTCATTTGTAGATTTTATATATCTACATAGGGTAAGGAATATTCCTTACCCTATGAGGGGCACTTTAGGGAACTTTAGGGAAAGGGTTGCTGTAAAATTAATATGAGACCTGTATTTCTAAAATATTTACTATTATGTGTATTTTGCATTCATCCTAGTATGTGTCCAGGAAGAAAACCCTATACAGGTGAAATTTGCTTATGAAATAATTTTTTACAAACATTATCTCATATTATGTCATAGCTGTGTGAATGGCAGTGTTGGTTGCTATCATCCCACTTTTTTGTGTGTGTGCAGGGAGTGGCTCATACTCTGTGTCTGTACATAACTTGTCAAAGCTGTGTTAACACATCGGATAAGATGTGATTTGATACTGATCTAGTTGAACATTTAGCTTTCATCCAGTCAGACAGAACGGAACCAGGAAGGATTTCTAAGTTTATGGTTTCTTTCAGTGTCCAATTATGGACTAATCTATATTTGAAATCAGTTCAACTTACTGTATTGGCTGACTTTTTGTTTTGGAGTTCTCCATATTTTACACAGTTCACTGAAAATTGCAAAATGAAAATTAATGATTAAGAAGCCATTATGACAGTTGCTTTTGCTTGCCTGCTATTGACAGAGCTTTGCCTTGTGTAAAAAATGGGCTGAAGCAAATTATCACATTGAGCCCTGCTACCCCTGTTGTACAGTTTTGCTTAGTTTGTACAGCTATGAGGTAAAGCTGAAAAGAGCAGACTAAATAACATATTTTTATTTAGCTGAGATCCATTAAAAATAAATGTGAATATTTGTTTAACTTTTGTAATTTTCCCTACAACTATATCAGATTTCAAACATTGTACTGTGTTGAGTATGTTTAGACTTGCACTGAGACGTACTGTATAGATTTGTATAGTTATGTGCCATCAAATAGGAACTGACTTAAGGCTTTCAAGGTAAATTACACACTTAAGGTATAGTTTTACCAGTTCTACTCCCTCAGTAAGTTTCTGTGGCCAAGTGGGGATTCAAACCCTGCTCTCCAGAGTCCTAGTCCATCCCTCTATCCGCTACACCACTGGTTCGTAACCTTTGTTACTCAGATGTTTTTGGACTGCAACTCCCAGAGGCCTTCACCATCAGCTCTGCTGGCTGGGGTTTCTGGGAGTTGCAGTTCAAAAACACCTGAGTAACAAAGGTTAAGAACCACTGCACTACACCATACTGGGTACCCCATAGATGTGCATTAAATTTATGCCATACCACATGTACAAAAGATTTAGCAAACAGCTGAGAATGCCATTGAAGTAGCCCACTTCTGCTCAAACATACTCTTAACGTTTTAATTTGTTTTTAATTTTACCTATATTTCATATACATCTAGTTTTAAATTCTGCATTGATATGAGTGAAGCAAGAAAGATCTCATAGATTGGTATAGAAAAGCAAAATAAACAATGTATTTAAGGAATGAGTTCTAGTTGGTTCTGATTATAGTTGGTTTTTCTGTAGAAAAATAAGGTCAGTATAGGCCTTTTATGTGATTGGTAATCATATGTGGCTTGCAGCATTTGTTATAGGAGAATGCCACTGTTTTTGAAAGCACCTGAGTACAAGACTTACTTGACAGCTTAAGAATAGTTTCTTTTTATGCTTCCAAATTCTGTTATGTAGGGAATAAGGACCCCAGTTTTCTTTAGTAAGATATGACTTTTCAGAGAAGAATAAGTAATCTAGTACACTGGGTGATTAATGTCTTGCTTGAGTTTTATCAGTCTCTGCATTTCGTCCCTCCTCCACCTCCAAATGTGTGTACATTCATTGCTTTTTTGGTACCTCTTTATAGACTGGATCAAAATTTAGATTCGTAAAACTAAGTTGGGAGAAGCAGACTCTTCTACCCCTTTCTTCCTGTGATAGCACATCCACCCCCCTGAAAATGTCACAGAGGGTCAGAGGAGTCTGCTGAATGAGGGCAGCTTTGGCATAAGAGGTGAAGTGATAAGGATGGTCTCCACTCAGTTTTGGGTAATCAGCTCCTTCTTGTTAACCCCCCCTCCCCAGCATCACGGCTTGCCCTGTTCAGCAGGATATCTTGACCTTGACTGTAGGATCTCTGTGGGGCTCCCATAGGGAAATAGGTGTGGTAAAGTCTGCTTCCACTAACTCCATCACACATGCCTGAATTAGGATCCAACTCAGTGACTTTATTAATATCGTTTCTAACAGTGGCAGTTGGACGGGCATCTTTGCAGTAATAATGAATTACCAACATAATGTATAGGGAAACTTGAGTTTTCTCTTCTTATTGCTGAAGTTCGATTTGTAAACTTTTATTTAGCACATCATGTAACAACAGAAAGCATTCATACTTTTAGTTACTGTTCAGGGGTCGGCAATTAATTTCTATGGGGGGGGCACATGAAAAATCTGAACTGTATTCGGGGGCCAAACCAACTTTACTTAAAAATAAAGTGAAACAGTGATGTTATGATTGTTTTTATTTTAAACTTGTTAATCTTCACAAATACTAAAGAAGTTTTTTGTGGTATGTTAAAGATAAGCAACTGATCAACTTTAGACAAAAAGCTATAAATGGTTTTGATGTTCAAAACTGTCCACAGGCCAGACAGGAGTGGCTCGCGGGCCGTATGTGGCCCTTGGGCCGCACTTTGCCCAGGTCTGGTTTATATGCTTATTAGGCTTTCTGGTTGTAGGCATATAAAAAAGTGTGTATTTCATACAAAGTATGTGTAATGTGTTATTTTATATGATGCCAAGCTGGTTTGAACGCATGGCAACCCTAGTAGTATGTTCAAAGTATATGAGATTTTAAAGAGTGTTTTTATCAGTGCAAAAATCCAATGAGTTTCCACAGCTGAATGGAAATTTGAACCCAGATCACTTGAATCCTAGTCTATCACTCTTCTGCTACCCTACACTGGTGTACAGGTTTGGTTTTCTCATACAAATCCACTGTGAGCTGTTGTTTTCTACAGAAATGACAACAATTTCAGTTACTCTTAGTATTTCACTTGGCACTCGTACAGACTGGAAAAAAAATAACATCAAGTATTTTAGTGCTTTATTTTGTGTGTACAAAGAAAGATTCAGAAAGCAACCATTTTTTTGTAATAACCCTGATAGCAATACAGCTTTTTTTCACCCTCATACAGGCCTGAACAACCTCGTATAACCAAAGATGTTATTTGCTTTCACGCAGAAGATTTTTTAGAGGTAGTTCAACGACTGCAACTGGATCTGCATGAACCCCCACTTTCACAGGTAACTGTTTTCACATACTGAGGGTTTGACTGTTTTGGCATACAGTGGTGCCCTACTTGACAATTACCTCGTTAGATGAGGAAATCGCTTAACGATGAAGTTTTTGCGATCGCTTTTGCGATTGCAAAGCAATGTTTTAAATGGAAAAAATCGCTTCACGATGATCGGTTCCCTGCTTCAGGAACTGATTTTTCGCTTTATGACGGTCAGAAAACAGCTGATCATTGGGTTTCAAAATGGCCGCCCACTGTTTAAAATGGCTCCCCGCTGTGCTTAGGACGGATTCCTCGCACCACAGGCACCAGAAAATGGCTGCCCTATGGAGGATCTTCGCTAGACGCTGAGGTATTTCGCCCATTGGAATGCATTGAGTGGTTTTCAATGCGTTTCAATTGGCTTTTTCATTTCGCTTGACGAGGATTTTGCTTAACAGCGATTTGAACGGAATGGATTATCCTCATCAAGCGAGGCACCACTGTATTAAGAATTTGATAGAGTTGCCATACTTAGACAATGTCCTTAACTTCCCTACTTTTTCCTTCTAGTGCGTCCAGTGGGTTGATGATGCAAAACTTAACCAGCTCCGAAGGGAAGGCATTCGATATGCCAGAATTCAGTTGTATGAGAATGATATTTATTTTATCCCAAGGAATGTTGTACATCAATTTAAGACTGTTTCAGCTGTGTGTAGTTTGGCTTGGCATGTTCGACTCAAGCTTTATCATTCAGAGGGAGAAAATCAAACCATTGGTGACAAAGACCCACCAACAAATCCTGCATCTTCTGTAATAGGACTTCAGATTGATAATATAATCCATACTGCAAACACAAATGCCACTGAAGACACCAAATTTGTAGACAGCATGCAGACTAAACTTGTGAAACAGGATTTTTCCGATACACTACATGAACCTGTGACATCTCTCCAAATTAAACAAGAACAGATTACTATTAATCTTCCTCAAAAGACAGTGATACCCAATGCTATGGAATATCGGGATATTAAAGCAAAGCTGGATCATGGTCAGTTGGCAGGATCTAAGTTTGAAATGGACTCTGAATTTGAAGCTGATGACAAAGACTTACAGGACAGCTTGTGCCCAGGAGGTTATGTGAACCTAGAGGACACAAGACAGAGCAGTTCAGCATATCCAAGTCTGCATGGCAAAGAAGATGACTTTTTGTGTTAAAGTTGTTGTATGTATGTTTTTAAATTCTTTATAAACATAATGATGTAATAATGTAAAGATGCTTAAATTTCGTGAGGCAGGTTTACCACTTGTCCTCACATCTGTTACAAAAAATAGTTTATGTAGCTTTGTAACATTCCTCAGTGCCTGTCCATAACTGTGAAAGTATCAAAGCACTTAGGGCCAGATGCACTGTAAACACTGCAGGTGTAACATAAAGAAGTCTTTAAATATGAGTTGTAGGTTTTAGAATAGAGCTGACATTTAACATATATTTTTTGTAAGATAAGCCAGAATTCTTTTTGACAATTCCAGGCTTTTCCATAGAGCTTATTTATACTGATTTTTTTTCTTTTAAATGTGTCAGCACTGTAGTGTAAATAGCTTTTTTAAAAAAACAAATCTTTTTAGTGTGATTTATATTGAAATGTGAGCCACCTAATAAAAGGTTCATAATAAGAATAGTGGGTTTTATTTTTGGGTTCCTTAAAAGTCATAAGTTCATTTTTAATGCAAAAAGGCAAAAAATATCTTGTGGGGGGGAAAGTTAATATTCTTATGACATAATAAAATGCTTGGCTGCGTTATTATGTTGTTATGTGCTGTTAAGTTGCTTTCAACTTATGGTGATGTTACAAATCAGTGATCTCCAAAAGGCCCTTTCATTAATAGCCCCACCCAGGTTTTACACACTCAAGACTGTGGCTTTCTTTATTGAGTAAATCCATCTCATATTTGGTCTTCCTCTTTTCCTACTGTCTTCCACTTTTCCTAGCATTACTGTCTTTTAGTGTTGCCTTATGATATTTCCAAAGTATAATAAGCTTAGTTTAGTCATTTTATTGACATTTGACACAATCTTCTGTTTACTTTTCACAAAATCTCACTTTTCAGGTGAATTGGAAAAAGTTGTTCTTGTGGCTAAACATGTAGTAAAACTCTTTTTCTGCTTGCATTGACTTTGCTCATAATGCTTGTGCCATGATAAATGAGACTGGCAATTATCAGTTATAGGGTGTTTTTTTTAAAAAAATAAATCACCTCGTATGTGTGCTAAATCTGGGGAGCCTTTTCCTGTCCATGTAACCTGTGAGAATATCTCACTGGCACATATAGTTTGTTGTGACTCGAGTCCAATTATTTTCAAAATGACATACTTTGTGCTTATGTTAAGCAGATCTAGCTCATGGAGTACATAATGCCTTGCTTTATAGCTTTTCCCTAACTCAGATCCTCCAGGTGTTTAGGGCTATCTGTCACCTTTGGACATCATGGCAGGTCAGGATGCTGGGAGTAATAGGCTTGACACACCTGAAAGGTGTCATGCTGGGGATGTCTGCACAGTTATTTTGTTGCCCTGCATGATAACTGGAAAACCTGTTTCTGTCCAGATGCTGATGACCTATTACTCCTATCATCCCTCACTGCTACAGATTCCTTGGTCTGGTGCTATACAGAGAGAACTGACAAGCAGTAAGATAAAGTTTTAAAAATAACAAAAACATTATTTGGAATGATGCTGTAGAAAAAATATTTCTAATCACTGGGTATATTTTAAAGCTTTGTTTTGCATCCTGAAACCTCTGTGTCAGTGAAGAAAACAAATAGGAATCCAAGGATGAGGGACAGCTGGAGTGGCCCACGTGGTATATCATGGAACCCAAACAGGTTTGGTTTTTAATGGTTGGATTCACACTCAGTCGTACTTAGAAATAAATGGAGTTGCATTAGTCATGACTAATTGATTTCATCAGGCTTCTCAAAGTATAAGTAAATCCAGATCCACCCTATAGTTTCCTGCCTACACCAACATGCATAGTTTTGGACTTTTCATTATGGAGCCCAGAGGTCATGAAGGCCAGAAGTACAGTCAGAAGTATACTCTTGGAACTTTGAAGAGAAGCAAAATTTGATGCAGTAATTACCATATGCTTTTAACAATTTGGAAACTAAACCTGCTAGAAGCACTCCCTCCCCCAACTGAATGCAAGAGTCAGAAGCTTTGTGTAGAAGGGCATAATTGGCCATTGTGCCCGTGATGCCAAGTCAAATAGTTTATTTGCAGCACATAGATCTTGAGATGGCTTCCTTGACAGATGTTGTCTTATTGAAGTCGGCCAGCCTCTGGGAAAGCATCGCCACTGCTGCTGGAGCTGCTAGCTTCATAGGGTTTAAAACAAGTGAACATACACATTGGCCAGCCACATTGTACTGTAACTCTAATGTTAACACAAAACTGATGGTCTTAATATTAAATGTTTCAGAGTTTGTTAATAAATAGAAATAAACACAAACTATCATGCTGCCCTTTCAGTTTTAGCAATATAACTCTACAGGCTAAATGATGTTAAGATAAAATATGATGTAACCAATGTCTCTTAATACAAACTAGACTTTTCTGTATAGTAGAGAGAAGGGGAATGGACTGAAGATCAATAGGAGTGCACCTACTTTGCATGCAGAAAGTCCCAGTTTCCATCCTTAGCTTCTCCAAGTGAGCTAGGAAATACTTTATTGCAAATTTTTTGAGTGTTTGTTACACTGAGATAAATTGACCAATTATTTGCTTTGGTATAAATGCACCATCCATTATAGCCTTTGATGTATTATGCCACTTCACAATGCAAACAGGGAAGTCAGTGTTGGTGAGGTATTTTAAATATACATTTTTTAATCTAAGGAAAGCTACCTGAATGAAATGAAGAATTCTTCCTTTCCTTAGTGTTAATATCCTAACATTTTTGTTCAGAGAGGTGTTGACCCATGAGAGCACTAAATTGTGTCGTTTTCACCTGTAGTATGAAGGGCAATCCTAGAAGCATTATCCAAGATAAAATAATTTTTGGTAGAGATGTTAAAGAGGATTTGCAATCAGTAGTGTCATAGCCTCTCAGCATTGTTAATGCCTATAAAACTTTACTACTTTATTTGTATTCCATATAGAGCTTAATAAATGTCCTAACAATGACAGGATTCTTCTTGAATCCCTAAGAAACTGCTTTTGTGTGGACCTTTTGCACTTCATGAAGTGACTGGGAAGTCTTTCAGTAGCTTATCAGCTCATGGGGCTGGAAACACTATGACCATTTTAAAGTACTGTGACCTGTACTTTAAGCTTCCAGGTTTAAGCTGAACTGAGTTGTCACTTGTGTTTTTCATTTCCATCTTTTATTTGCTTCTGGAATTATGCTCGACCCTACCTTTCAGCTTGCTATAATACTTACCAAGCTCATATGTTGGAGGACTGAGCATGAAGTAAGGAGAGGACATCCATGATGTGTATTTTGAGCCCCTTGTTCCCCTTTCCTTAGCTTGTCCTTAGCTATCAAGTGGAAATTATTTCAGGCTCTTTATTTTGCTTCTTTCCAACTAATATTTCTAGCCATTGGCATTTTACTCTGTATGCCTTCCCATCTCCGTTTAAAATTCATCCCTTCATAGGATAATTATTAGAACGTATATGGGCTCACCTAAGTTAAACGTCTTTGGAGCTGTAACAGTGAGACACTCTTTTTCTTTTCTTTTTTAACCATTTTATAGTATCCAGTCAGTTAAGCCACGAACAAAGTTTCTGTGATCTACTCCTTTCATGTGAATAGCAATATTGTGTGAGCTATGCACTTGACAATGTTTATACTGTATAATTATATTTCATCTACATTTGGTCCCCAAAAATCTTCCGGACATAATCACAGAAAACATTTTAACTCAGGGTGTATATGTGCATCAATATAAAATTTAAAAAATGATCCAGACTGTAATCCTATGTATGCTTAACTCTTAAATCCCAGTTAGCATACTGGGTAAATCTGAGTAAATCTAAGGAGGGATAATGACCATGATCAGTTCTTACAAATAGGAACATTATAATTTTACCTTATTGATTTCAGCCATGCTTCTTTAGCGCTACTGTAGTAAGGGACAACTGTTGGCAAATCTAGTTGGTACACCATCAAAACAAATAAAATAACAAATGGCCTAATGTAACCGACTGTGTTTTCTTGATTTCAGTACATGTGCCTATTAGACTCTTGCTCTAATCTTATATTTAATCTTTTGATTCTTAGCATTAATATCAAGGGCTAATTTTACTTCTCTCTTTTTAAAGACTGTTTCAAGGTTTGTAGTTCTATTTAATGTTTATTTTGTGATTCTATTTAAATTGTGGTTTTTTGCTTTTTATGTGCAAAAATCAGATATAGATTTCAACACTCTTGCCTGACTTAAAGTGCACTAACCATGTGTAGTGGCACAGAATTTACTGGGGGCACACCACTTCTTACTTCCTGATCCTCATAATTTATATACAGTGGTGCCTCGCATTACGAGCGCTCCGTTTTACGATGAAATCGTTTACGTTGAAGGTTTTGCGATCACAAAAGCAATCGCAAAACGATGTTTCCTATGGGGGAATTTCGCTTTGCGATGATCAGTTCCCTGCTTTGGGAACTGATCCTCGCAAAGCGAAGATTTTCGGCCAGCTGATTGGTGGTTTCAAAATGGCCGCTGGGTAAAAAACATGGCTCCCTGCTCTTTTCTGGGACGGATTCCTCGCTGCACAGGCAGCGAAAATGGCCGCACTATGGAGGATCTTCGCTGGACGGTGAGTTTCAAGCCCCTAGGAACGCATTAATCTGGTTTTAATGCGTTTCTATGGGCTTTTTAATTTCGCATTACATTTTGCGAGGCAGGTGATTTCGCTGTAACGAATTAACGTCGTAATGCGAGGCACCACTGTATGAGGAAGGAAATGATAGTAGCAGTACTTCACTTGTCATCTGTGTAATTCTCTAGGCAATTCTTCATTAGCTTTCTCTGATCACACCAGGCTTAGCCAATTTATTCTTCTGGCCATTAAATGTCCCATCTCATGTGTGGTTTTCCTTCTGAATAAAGTGCATTTTTGTGCCTCTTCATTGATGAGACCAAGGGGGAAAGGACTCCATCTTGTTAACTCGAGAGTTACTTGTGAGTAGTGTTTCTTTTCAAGTTCTCTAGGGGCTATACTCAGTATATTGGAACCGTATTCACTTTTTGCTACATACTATCAATAGATTTACCAACCTCTTTTCCATATAGTCCACGATCTATCTGGAGTTGGTCACAGTGATTGACCTCCCACCAGCATCTCACCTGACCAATTTGCTGCATTTTAAAAATCTAAAGTGGATGCCATCCACTGGGATCTTACTCCCTCTTTGAAAACAGTAGATTAAGCAGAGACGTCCAGTGCTCCGCCTTGCCTGATGAAATGTAATCATTTTCTGCCTGTGATGTCAGATATTGTAGACGAAGTGCTTGATTTGCTGTCGTGCCACCACCACCTCCCTTGACCCTTGCCCGGCCTGGTTAATCAAGGCAGCCAGCTGTAACAACTGAATGGGCCACTGCGATAATTAATGGGTCTCTCTTGGAGGGTAAGGTTCCCCTTGCTCACAAGGAGATGCTCATTACGCCCATTAGGAAGAAACCAAGTTTGGTGGTGGATGACATTGGCTTCAGGCTGCACTGCGGCATGGAAATGTTGAGGGAGGACGACGGGCGAAATGGTTCTTCGTCCTCTTTGATATTTCAACCGCCTTTGATACCGTCAACCACGTTATCCTCCTGGGGAGGCTCTCTGAATTGGGAATTGGTGGTTTGGTGCTTGCCTGGCTCCGATCCTTCCTGGAGGACCATCCTCAGAGAGTACAGTTTGGGGAGAGTGTATCAGCCCTGTGGAGTTTCAACTGTGGGGTTCCACAGGGCTCGATTATCTCCTCAATACTGTTTAATATCTACATGAGGCCACAGGGTGGGCTCATTAGGGGGTTTGGGGATTCATATCATCAGTACGCTGATGATACCCAGCTCTACATCTTTTTTCCAACAACAGCGGATGCCATTTCATCCCTCCGGCGCTGCCTGGAGGCTGTACAGTGGGGTCTCGACTTACGAACGACCCAACTTGCAAACAATTCGAGTTACGTACCTGCCCTATAGGGAAAGTAAGGACTCGACATGCGAACTTCCCTCGAGTTATGAACAGGGAGAAAAGTCCCCCCCTCCCTCCCCTTAGAGGCTTCTGGAGGGGGG